CCATAGAGTACATATCCCATAATTTCTTTATTTTTTTAAAGATTGATTTTTATTTATGTGAAAGAATTACAGAGAGAGGTAGAGACAGAGAGAGAGGTCTTCCATCCGCTGGTTTACTCCCCAGTTGGCCACAATGGCCAGAGCTGTACTGATCCAAAGCCAGGAGCCAGGAGCTTCCTCCGGGTCTCCCACGTGAGTGCAGGGGCCCAAGGACTTGGGCCATCTTCTACTGCTTTCCCAGGCCATAGCAGAGAGCTGGATTGGAAGTGGAGCAGCCAGGACTCGAACTGGTGCCTACATGGGATGCTGGCACTTCAGGCCAGGGCGTTAACCGGCTGTGCTACATAGCCGGCCCCTCCATAATTTCTTTATCCAGTCTTCAGTTGATGAGCATTTAGGTTGATTCCATGTCTTAGCTATTGTGAATTGAGCTGCAATAAACATGGAGGTGCAGATAACTCTTTTATTTGCTGATTTTATTTCCCTTTGGTAAATTCCCAGAAGTGGGATGACTGGGTGGTATGGTAGGAGTATATTCAGATTTCTGAGATATCTCCAAACTGATTTCCATAGTGGTTTTCCAGTTTGCATTCCCACCAACAGTGGATTAGGGTGCCTTTTCCCCCACATCCTTGCTGGCATTTGTTGTTTGTTGACTTCTGTATGAAAACCATTCTAATGGGGGTGAGGTGAAACCTCATTGTGGTTTTCATTTGCATTCCCCTGACAGCTAGTGATCCTGAGCATTTTTTCAAATGTCTGTTGGCCATTTGGATTTCCTCTTTTGAAAAATGTCTGTTTAAGTCCTTTGCCCATTTCTTAACTGGGTTGTTTGTTTTGTTGTTGCGGAATTTCTTGATCTTTTATATATTCTGGTTATTATCTTTTATCAGCTGCATGCAGTAATTTCTCCCAATCTGTCAGTTGCCTCTTCACTTTGCTGAGTGTTTCTTTTGCAGTACAGAAGCTTCTCAATTTGATATAATCCCATTGTTGATTGTGACTTTGATTGCCTGTGCCTCTGGAGTCTTTTTCAAGAACTCTTTGCCTGTGCCAATGTCTTGCAGGGTTTTCCCAATGATCTCTAATAATTTGATTGTATCAGGTCATAGATTTAGGTCTTTAATCCATTTTGAATGGATTTTGGTGTAAGGTGAAAGGTAGGGGTACTGTGTCATACTTCTGCATGTGGAAATCCAGTTTTCCCAGCACCATTTTTTTTTCATTTGACAGATAGAGTTAGACAGTTAGAGAGAGAGAGACAGAGAGAAAGGTCTTTCTTTCATTGGTTCACCCCCCCTAAATGGCTGCTATGGCTGCTGCTGCGCCAATCTGAAGCCAGGAGCCAGGTGCTTCTTCCGGGTCTCCCACGTGGGTACAGGCGCCCAAGCACTTGGGCCATCCTCCACTGCCTTCCCGGGCCACAGCAGAGAGCTGGACTGGAAGAGGAGCAGCCAGGACTAGAACCGGCCCCCATATGGGATGCTGGCACTGCAGATGGAGGATTAGCCAAGTAAGCCACGGCGCAGGCCCCTCCTAGCACCCTTGGTTGAAGAGACTGTCCTTGTTCAAGGGATTGGTTTTAGCTATTTGGTCAAATATAAGTTGGTTGTAGATGCTTGGATTGATTTCTGATGTTTCTATTCTGTTCCATTGGTCTATCTATCCGTTTTTGTACCATTACCAGGATGTTTTGATTATATCTGCCTTGTAGTGTGGCTTGAAATTTGGTATTATGATGCCTCCGGCTTTGTTTTTGTTGTATAAGATTGCTTTAGCTATTTGAGGTCTCTTGTGTTTCCAAATTAATTTCCCCCAAGATCTGAGAAGAATGTCTTTGGTATTTTGATTGTTATTGCAATTAATCTGTAAATTACTTTCAGAATGATGGACATTTTTATGATATTAATTCTTCCAATCCATGAATATGGAAGTTTTTCCCCTTTTTTGTATCTTCTTCTATTTCTTTCTTTAATGTTCTGTTAGTTTCATCGTAGAGATCTTTGACATCCTTGGTTAAATATATTCCAAGGTATTTGAATTTTTTTGTAGGTATTATGATTGTGATTGATCTTAGAAGTTCATTCTCAGCCATGGCATTGTCTTTGTGTACAAAGGCTGTTTATTTTTGTGTGTTGATTTTATAAGCTGTAACTTTACCAAACTCTTCTTAGAAGAGTTCCAATAGTTTCTTGGTGGAGTCATGGTTATAATAGCAATCGAATGGAAAAATGACCACTTCACCCATGTATTTTAAATTTTAAAGCAATCACAGAGCACTCAAACTACAGTCGTATAACACTCTTAATCATGGGCTTCACAAAGGTATAAGACAAACTTTTACAAAACTGTATTTGTGCCAATACAGATACACACAGACAGTTAATTCTTTTTTCTTTCTTTTGTTGTTTTTAAAATTTTAGTTTTCACATAAGGTAGCATTCAGTTTTTGTCTTTCTGTGTCTGGCTAATTTCAATCAACATGATGTCTTCTAGTTGTGTCTATTTTGCTGCAAATAGTTGAGTTTTATTCTTTTTTTTTTTAAAGAAATTTATTTTATTTATTTGAGAGGCAGTCTTACAGGGACATGTAGAGACAGAGAAAGAGGTCTTTGATCTGCTGGTTCACTACCCAAATGGCCACAACAGCTGGAACTGAGCTGATCTAAAGCCAAGAGCCAGGAGCTTCTTTCGGGTTTCCTATGTGGGTGCAGGGACCCAAGGACATGGCCATCCTCTACTGCTTTCCCAGGCACATTACCCCAAGATGGCCCATCAAGCATGAAAGAAGAATTATATAATTTGCATTTAATTTTGATTTATTTTAAAGAAAATGATCAAATACCTTTACAAATAGCAAAAGACTAAATACACACTGGAATAAAAGTAGTTGTTTTATTAATCAAGATTTATTTAGAAAGTCAATGAATTAAAAGAAGTCTTGGGAGAACTTTCTGTTGATTCAAGATTTTACATATTTTTGGAGGCCAGCGCGGTGGCATAGCAGTTAAGGCCGCTGTCTGCGGTGTTGGCATCCCATATGGGTGCTGGTTCAAGTCATGGCTGCTGCGCTTCTGATCTAGCTCTCTGCTATGGCCTGCGAAAGCAGTAGACGATGGCCCAAGGTCTTGGGCCCCTGCACCCATGTGAGAGACCGAGAAGAGGCTCTTGGCTCCTAGCTTCAGATCATCCCAGCTCCAGTCCTTGTGGCCAACTGGGGAGTAAACCAGTGGATGGAAGACCTGTCTCTCTATCTCTCTCTGCCTCTGCTTCTCTCTGTGTGTAACTCTGACTTTCAAATAAATAGAAATCTTTACAAAAAAGATTTTACATATTTTCAATAATCAAGATTATGATTTCTAGATGTTGTATCATGAACACTAAACATTCTAACAAATAAAACATAATATTTTAGTAATAAGATTCACCTCTTACTCTAACTTGAATAAAACAAACCATTTTGTTTCTAAATTATTTTAATTTGTTCAATCATATGCATCTATTTTGTATTGTTAGTATTGGTTAATGTAAAAAAAAAACAGGAATCAATAATAATTATTTGACTTAAGGTATTGCATGGTAAATAACATTTTTCTGAAACTTTTAAAACCAAGAATACTAACAAAGATTTGCTTATCTTTCATGTGTATCATCATCATATAGCATAATTCCTTTTTTAAAAAAGATTTTATTTTATTTGAAAGGCTGAATTACAGAGGGAGAACAGACAGAGAGAGATCTTTCATCTGCTGGTTCATTCCCAAATGGCCACAACAGCTGAGGCTGTGCCAGGCCAAAGCAGGGAATCAGGAAGTTTTTCTGAATCTCCCACTTAGGTGCAAGGGCCCAAGCACTTGAGTCATCTTTACAGCTTTCCCAGGTACATTAGCAAGTAGCTGATCAAACTGCTGCCCATATTGGATGCTGGCATCAGAGGTGGCAGCTTTACTCGCAAAGCCACAATGCAGTCCCCCATAGCATAATTCTTAGTGGGAGAAATTCTCCAGGAATAAATGATCAACGCACCAGGCAGAAAGGGGACATGCAGAGCAATGGCCCTTACAAGAGCCTGTGTCTACACCTAGAATGGGCTAGGACTACCCATACTGTAGGAAATTGAAACCATTAGAGGGAGACTTTTAGCAGAAAAATGATATTTTCTATAGAAATAATTGAAAAATGTTAAGAGTTGGATGAAAATAACTGAGCACTTAGGTAAAACACTGAAATCAAACTTTAAGCTAAAATAAATTGGTTAAAGGATTGCACTATTCAATTTCTGCTACCACACCATCATCTGAATGTATGCATTTGAACCATAGGTTTGCGATGACTCATTATTTTTTTTTTTTTTTTTTTGACAGGCAGAGTGGACAGTGAGAGAGAGAGACAGAGAGAGAAAGGTCTTCCTTTTTGCCGTTGGTTCACCCTCTAATGGCCGCCGCTGCAGCCGGCGCACCGCGCTGATCCTGGCAGGAGCCAGGAGCCCGGTGCTTTTCCTGGTCTCCCATGGGGTGCAGGGCCCAAGCACTTGGGCCATCCTCCACTGCACTCCCTGGCCATAGCAGAGAGCTGGCCTGGAAGAGGGGCAACCGGGACAGAATCCGGCGCCCCAACCGGGACTCGAACCCGGTGTGCCGGCGCCGCAAGGTGGAGGATTAGCCTATTGAGCCACGGGGCCGGCTCGATGACTCATTATTTTGAACATTACATTCCCACGTGTTTTTACAACCCATGTATTTTGTCAGGGTCCACGTGTGGGAAGATGTCATGCACATGATCCCACCACTTGAACAGAAAGCCTTCTGCAATGATCCTAAACCATGGGGTCACTTTCACCTGTCCCTGGGCTGCCCTGTACAGCAGCTCCCACAGCTCCTCTTGGGTCATGTAGTGGTAGCCTTTGACTTCTGTGGGATCTGGGTTCATTGTGAGGTTTTTCCTTACAAACAGAAGACAGGCAATCTCAAGGTCTCCCCAGATGTCATCTGAAGTACACTTGTGCTAAAATCCTTTCATAAAAATTACATCGTTTGTGGAAATCTGTGTCAAAATTGATCCAGCATGAATTCCATCTTAGAGAAAAGATTTTACATAGAAAATAGCTCATTCTTTTTGTTTGCATTCAGAAGACATATGCTGTGCCCCTGAGTGTCACATGCTTCTCAAGCTTTAATGAAGTGCTGGGTAGATCATAATGAAGAAGTTACAATTCTTGATATTGTCCACTTCATTCTTTGAGAACACAGCAAGAATTCTAGAGACAGATCACATGAGAAGGCTAAAGAAAGTTCTGCAGAGTTTTACATGTGAGTTTCATCAAGGATCTTTTCCTTTCAGAATGGTGCTAAGAGAAACTCTTACATTATAAGATGGTGGTTTGTGTCACAGCTATTCTGTGAGTCAGACTTGCTGCTGTTCTATGTAGGAAGCAGACATGTATTACTGGATGTGAATGTCTGTTGTTCACTGCTTGTGTAATCGCATTTTAATTAAAAGATGAAAACATAGCATCATTTGCCTGTAAGAACTAAAACTGGATTATTGAAATGGTTAAGCAGATCTCAAAGTTCATTTTTATGTCTATACGTGCAGTAGTGTGGTACTGGTCCTGAGGAATTCCCAGCTCAGCTTGGAGACGTCTCAGAGCTGCCCTTCTTACTCCCATGGTGTCTTTCTCTTCCAGTTCTGCCAAGTTGTATAAAGGGTGATGAGAACAGGACTCAGAAAAAGGACCTGGAAGAAATGGGCATTGGGCCTGCTTTATTGGGAGCTTCCTTTTACCAAATGGGTCATTCTCCTTCTTAGACAACATGTAGTAGATAAAACATATTTAATTCTGGTTTATCATCTCATCGTCAATTCTTCTTGTCAATTATTATATTCATATTAAGCTCTCAGTTTTTTTAGAACTACAAAATAATTTCAATGTCACCAGTCTATCTTTCCAAGACAAACAAGTTCTCAATTCCTTGAGGAAATTAGAGTTGTAAATTCTTTTGGAGCAGAACTCTTTTCCAATATAGAGCTTGATGAGTTTGCTAACTATTCAACCCTCTATGTGGCACTAAACACAAGCCAGAGGTCAATGGGTCTTAGATTCCATCTGAGTAAGCTCACCAGGAAAAGTGTACTTGGCATCTGATCTCTGCTGTACCAAGAACTGATCTTTCATACTGAAGAGGACGACACTGAAGCCTCGGTGCAACAGCCTGCAAAATGAGTGTGAGGTAGCTGACACAGAAGTGAGCTGAGTGAGAGGTCTGTGGAAAGGGTCCCTCCCCTCTCAGTCTCTCATGCAGCTGAGCACGCGGTACTACCCACAGCGGTAATGCTTGCTTGCTGGGCATGCATTTGAAGAAGGTGTGGAGCATGTAAATATCAGAACCGTGGTTACTGACAGCTACACTCTGAGGTGGGGACTATAATGTCTCTTTATTGTGTATTGGGTAAGAAGTGGGTACTCCGCACCAGATACCACAGGCCTGAGATTTACCCGCGGCTCAGAGTCTAAGCCTGTTGCCCAGCCCCCACTCCTGTCACTTTTTTTTTTTTTTTTTTTTTTTTTGACAGGCAGAGTGGACAGTGAGAGAGAGAGAGACAGAGAGAAAGGTCTTCCTTTGCCGTTGGTTCACCCTCCAATGGCTGCCGCGGCCAGAGCGCTGCGGCCAGCACACCGCGCTGATCCGAAGGCAGGAGCCAGGTGCTTTTCCTGGTCTCCCATGGGGTGCAGGGCCCAAGCACTTGGGCCATCCTCCACTGCACTCTTGGGCCACAGCAGAGAGCTGGCCTGGAAGAAGGGCAACCAGGACAGAATCCGGCGCCCCGACCGGGACTAGAACCCGGTGTGCTGGTGCCGCAAGGCGGAGGATTAGCCTAGTGAGCCGCGGCGCCGGCCACTCCTGTCACTCTTGCCACTGCCCAGGAAGTTGATGGACCAATAGCACAAAGTGAGTTGTCAGACTCTAAGGTTTGTTGTGATATTTGATGTGCTAAAAGGGCTCTCAATAAAATGGCTAGCGTTTCCCAAGTTTCCTCCAGAGCATTACAGATGCAGCGGCAGCAGCCCAAGTGTCCACGGCCTTGTTCTCAAGTGCGTCTTCTCAGACCCCCTCCTTGGAGTATTTGCCAGATGCAGGGAAGAGCTGATGGGACAGATTCTGAACACAGAGAAGCTCCCTCCACCTCATCCATCCCAATGTTTCCTTTCAGGTGTCAGTTCTTCTTCGTTTCGTCTCCAATGACATGATCGTGCTGGTCACTGACGATGCACACCTCCTCCGGCTGTTCTATCTGGAGCTCATCCAGGTGAGCCATGATCCTGGGACCCACCTGGCAACACAGATTGGTAAGCAAGGGGTATTGTCACCCACTGTCCTTGTAAATTAAATACACTTGAGATCCTTAGCCAAATGTGTCCAATTTCATCAAAGCAATTTACACAACATAGTGGCACATTTATGTGGAGAAAGACTAGTGGTTTCTTATATGTTGTCCAGAGAAACTGGAAATGGAAGGCATGTTCACATTGTGCCTGTATTGTTAATTGTCCATCAATCAATTCTTATGAGACTCATAAGCCAGAAAGTTTTTAAAGTCTCTGACCTTGGATAAATGGCAGGTAGACTATAAAAATCTGGCAGTGTTCATGTTTGTGGAGAAATGATAAAGTGTAACAGGAAATTCACCTGTGTGAACTCCAATAATAATTATCATTTTCTGTGTCTCTGTATTTTTTTCTGTTTCTATTTTATATCATATAGTTCTAGCAAATATTTTCAGCAATATATGAGAATTAGAGAAATGAAAGAGTCTAACTTTATCTAATATCAGTTAATAGAGATATTTGATTGAGAATATTGGGAAGGGAACTGAGAGATTGTGGGTTGGATTCAGCCTCACAAAGAAATCAGTGATTGAAAATACAAAAGAAGCTTTAACAAAATGAGAGCAATCAGACAACAGTAATATAAGCACTCACTTCTCCTAAAAATCGGAGTTCAGCGTATCCTGTTTCCGAAATCTACAACATACAATGTGCAGTCCAATTTTTATTATGGCTTTCTTTTCTGTATTTTCTGTGCTTGTCCAAATTTGTACATTTATGTTCCTTTTGAATTGAGACATTGTGAAAAATGGACATGTCAATCAAAAATACATATTCTTATTTTGGACTTCAAGGCAGTGCTGAGTTTTATATTTATATCACAAATAAAGAGCAAATTAATCGAGACTACTACTGAAATTACAGGAATTTAAATACTAATGTCTACGTGTTTATCAGTTAAATCTATAACCCTTCATGGGTCATCTGCAGAAACACAGAACTATCAAAGAAGAGGAGAGTCTTGGATTGCATAAAAAAAAAGCTAACTCAGAATGAAATAGAAAGCTGAAAAACAGAGGGAAATAAAAGGGCACATCTGGAAAATGTTGACAGAAAATAAAGCAGCAATGGCACTATGAATGTTAGAGAAGTAGAGTTCAAGGTAGAGCAGTCTATCAAATCTGACTGATATTACAACAATAATTTAAAAATCGTATAGGAGTTATAGTGGTAATTATCCTTTGGACATGTGATGATATGTCTACATGAAAGGAGAAAGAAATCAACAATCATGTTGGACTTACCTTCCATCAATAATAGTACAATGACAAAGTAAAAAGGTAAAAATACAAAATACAATTAACAATGCCATATGAGGGTATTTCAAAAGTTTGTGGAAGATGGAATTAAAATATAAGGTTATTTTGTTGCAAAAGATTTTGAAATCCATGCATATGAGAGGTCTTCAGAAAGTTCATGGAAAATGTATGCTATAAAAAAATGCTTGTTTTACAAAATGTATTCTATCAGAATAAATTTATCTTTTAATTAATTCTTCTAACTTTTTAAATGCTCTTATATGTCATAGAAATCATGGAGTGTGTCCAACATAAATCTCAGTATACTGTTATGCCTGATGCTGTGTAATTGGGTCACTTTCTCTCACAACAATGAAGTCAAGGAAGACGGAACTCTCTTCTATTCTGAACTGAAAATCAAAATTTGGAATTGGCTTATTCCAAGTGTTGAAAACAAAGATAATGCTGCACACAAAGCCTGTGGGACATTACTCAAGTGGAAACCCAAGAAAATACCCAGCTTTACAAACATTTGTCACAAAGTGTATCAGGTATTCTTGCTTCTTTGCATATGTGGTGATTTTAATTGGTTCCCAAACATCGTGAGTTTCGCCTGACACAAGGATACATGGTTTTTGTTTCTGTAAGTGTCCTTGAGGTTTGTTCTGGGGTGCAGTTAAACCATTTAGGAAGTTTGATCCTTTCCGGCCAGGCCTTTAAGAAGCCTTAGGGAAGACGCAAGCAGTAGGAAGCAGGGGGCTGGTGGTCGGTCATTCTGTCCCTGCTGGTGATACTCAGAACTTTGCAGTTGTGTGTGAGCCACAGGCACTGCCCATTCTTTCCTTGACCTTGGACAGCGTCCTCCAACGCAGCTGAAGCCCCGAGGCCTGACCCCTGATCTCTGGAGTTCGCTGGTTGTTTACCACCCTCCTCTCCGGTCGTCTGTTCTGTGACTCGCAGCTGCCTCAGTGTGGTGAGCATCCCAGCTCTATCCTCAGCCCAGGGGGAGTCCCATTACAGCCCTGCCTGCTGCAGACGTTTGGGGAATTAATGAGCAGATGGAAGGTCTCTGTCAGTCTATATCTCTCTATCTCCCCGAATCTCTAAATAAGTGGAGTGTTGCTTGCTGAAGTGTAAGAAGGGCATAGGTAGTGTGCAGTATCAGAAAGCCCAAGATGAACGAGGCTTAATCACAAAGCATTTGAAACTTTGCTAATCCTCCGCCTGTGGCGCTGGCATCCCCTGTGGGCGCCAGATTTTGTCCCGGTTGCTCCTCTTCCAGTCCAGCTCTCTGCTGTGGCCCAGGAGTGCAGTGGAGGATGGCCCAAGTGCTTGGGCCCTGCACCCGCATGGGAGACCAGGAGAAGCACCTGGCTCCTGGCTTTGGATCGGCGCAACGCTGGCCGTAGCAGCCATTTGGGGAGTGAACCGACAAAAGGAAGACCTTTTTCCTCTCTGTCTCTCTCTCTCTGTCACTGTATAACTCTACCTGTCAAATAAATTAAAAAAAAAAGAAATTTGCCATGTAATAGTTCATCCTGAACTATTTACAATGCTAGTAGCTCTGAATTATCGTGGAATATTCTTCACCTAGAAAATATTAACAATGACTGATGAGAGGATACTTGTTGTATTCACATTGCTAAGCATGGTGTTAGGGACACAGCAGGTAACACTGGCAGTGCGGTAGGAAAAAGTTGACATTTGAGATGTCCCAAAAATATACTGAGTGTTTGCAGAACCCGTCATGCTGTCCAGAAGGCCTGAGTAAACAGCACATTGCTTTATGATTATTTGAAAACCAAGTTCAGTCTCGCAGCCTGTGCTCATTTCAGGAAAAGTGGGCAAAAGAAAAGGGGAACATGATATTGTTCCTGGAGAACATGGTGAAAACCAGATTATACACATAAATTGATAGCAGACTCCTCAACCAAAATAATAGAAGACAAAGACAATGGAATAATAACTTAGGTACATGAGAGAAAATATCTGTGGAATTGTGATATGGTCATTCAAAGTGAAAGGTTAATACTCATAGTCTTTGGGGGGAAACAGAAGTTGAGTGTTGAAGACACATAAATATGATTGTGTCCCTGTGCCTAAAACACCTTAGTGCTTGTTCATTCCACTCACAGTAAAATATGAGCTTCTCACTCTGATGTAAGTGCCTGCAGGATCCTGTTTATTACCTATCCAACTTCATTCCATAGCTCTTTGCCTTTAGACTCCCAGACTTCAAGTCCTTCCTCTCAGAAATCCAAGGATGTCTGTTCTTTTTTGTTGGTATTTCTGGTTTTTTTTTTTTTTTCCCTCATTTCTGATCCCCCTGCCTAGAATGCTTTCCTCCTGGCTGTTCACACAATTAATTGAGTGTTCAAAAAGTTACCTCCTCACGGAAACGTCCATTAATACTGGAGACTTTTGTAGCCACTTTTTTTTTTTATTGATCTGTTTAATTCCTACGGGAGCATTTGTCACAATATGATTAACTTGCTTAACTATTTTATTTATTTATTTATTTGACAGGTAGAGCTATAGACAGTGAGAGAGAGAGAGACAGAGAGAAAGGCCTTCCTTCCATTGGTTCACGCCCCAAATGGCCACTACGGCTGACGCTGTGCTGATCCGAAGCCAGAAGCCAGGTGCTTCCTACTGGTCTCCCATGCGGGTGCAGGGTCCAAGCACCTGGGCCATCCTCCACTGCGTTCCCGGGCCACAGCAGAGAGCTGGACTGGAAGTGGAGCAGCCGGGACTAGAACCCGGCGCCCATATGGGACGCCGGCGCCACAGGCAGAGGATTAACCAACTGAGCCATGGCGCCAGCCCCAACTTACTTAACTATTAACCAGTGGTAGTGTGAGACTACATTTCTTTATTTCTCCTGGTAGGATGTGTGAGAGCTTCTGAGTCTCTTGGAGAGCTCGCATGGCACGGGGCATTAGAGGTACGTGCTTAGCCTCCTCAAAGGGTCTCTTGTGATTAGTCACCGGTGCGGTTAGCTTTCGTTAGCATATCAAAACATCTAACACTGGCTATTTATGAAGGAAGAAAGTGTATTTTAGTTTACGGTCTTGGAGATTTGCAGCCTACAATGTGGTGGGCCCCCATTGGTCCTGCCATCTGGTGAGGCTGGAGTGTGGCAATGGTGGAGTTTGTGCAGAGCAAGGATCACAAGGTGGGCCAGGAGGCAGACAACAGCAACTAGGCCTGACCCAGCTTTTTATAACCAACTCAAGAAAACTCCCTAACATGGTCAAGCATCCAAAGACCTAAGGATCTCCAACTAGACCCACCTCCTAGACACCATAACTAAATAACTAAATCAAACCTCCTCCCTCTTAATGCCATCAACCCAAGACTTGGGACTTTACCATCAGCATGAGTTCAGAAGCCATATTCTATTCCAGCCATATCAGGGATGCAAAATGTTTTTTCCATCCAATTTATATTTTCCATATTTGTTCATTGCTGCCAGTCCTTTATGTTTTTGGCTGCTCTGGATATTATGTTTACACTCATTTTTGGCAGAGTTTTCTCTGTTGATTGATGGTATTCTATTCATTAGCTTGGCCAGTGTTCTGAACTGAATTCTGTGTCCTTCCCAAGCCATAAGGTGAAGCCCTCATCTCAGTGTGGCTATACTTGGTAAAGAAATAACACACAGTAAGTGTGGCCATTGGGGGATGAATCAGTAGATGGAAGATCTCTCTCTCTCTCTCTCTCTCTCTCTCACACACACACACAAAACCTTTCAAAAATTATATAAATCCAAAAAAAAAGAAGTTACCTCATGTGATGAAGGAGGCTGGGAGGGCAAAGATCTGCAGCCTGCAAGTTGAAAACTCAGGAGAGCCAAGGGTGGACACCCAGTCCTTGTCTGCGTCGGAAGGTAGAGGACTGATGTCCCCGCTCGCAGACACTCAAGCAGATAGAACAGATTCTCTCCTACTTAGCTTTTTATGCTATTTAGGCTTTCAGGTCATTGGATGAGGCTCATTCATGATGGGAGAAGGCCATGCACATCACTGAGCCTAATGAGTGAAGTGTTAATCTCATCTGAAAATAACCCCAGAAACACACCCAGAAAATGTTTAACCAAATATCTAGGCAACTCAGCCCCCATCGAGTTGGTACTAAAATAAAGCATTGTAAGTCCACCCCTTGTCAACTTGTCATCCATAATCATCTTCTTAAATCACATTCTGTCTCTAGATAAAAGAAAACATCAAGTCATGATCACACCTAATGTGATATGGTTATCTTGCATACAAAAAATACAGAGAGGAATACTCATCACAATTATAGTCCTTGTTTCTGTAACTGGCAAAGTTCCTTCAATTGTTTATAGCTGTTATTTCTTCCACCACTCATCCTGTATTCCTCTTGCCTTCAGCAAGTATCTCAGCTGGTCATACTTCCTTACCTGACTGCATGACAAAAAGCTTTTTTATTTTAAAGATTTACTTATTTATTTGAAAGGTAAAATGCAGAAAGACAGGCAGAGAGAGAGAGAGAGAGAGAGAGAGAGAGAGAGAGAGAGAAATATGAATGAATCTTCCATCTGCTGCCTTACTCCTCAAATGGCTGCAACAGCCAGGGCTGGGCAAGACTGAAACCAGGAGCCAGGAGCTTCTTCTGCATCTCCCACATGGATGCAGGGGCCCAAGCACTTGGGCCGTTCTCCACTGCTTTCCCAGGCCATAGCAGGGAGCTGGATCAGAAGTGGAGAAGCCAGGACCTGAACCAGTGCTCATATGGGATGTGAGCACTGCAGGTGGCATTTTAACCCACTACACCACAATGCTGGCCCCCGTGACCAAAATCTTAATCTCCCAAGAGCCTTGGGGATTCTTCCCTTTGGGACAATAGTAGCAGCACTGGACTGGGTTTTTGTAACTTTCTATTAATCATAGGGTATTGTAATACTAACATATACCATAAAGGATCACCTGTATTCCAGACATGCTCATCCTTACTTGCATTGTGGAATAGTATCCAATTTACTCGTTGTAGTGAGGATCAATCACCCAGGCAGGCATAGTAACTCCCTTACCTACCTGTTTATTCAGAGACATCAGAATCCCTGTGTGACCAGGTTGCAGTCTTAACTTCCACTTCAATGGAATCAATGTTGTGTCTCTTGATAGACACATTCCTCCCAGTGAAACTAAGGCTTCTAAGTTAACAGGATGCATATTGGTGTACAAGACCAAATTTCCTTCTAATGTGCACCCTTGGAGGCAGCAGAAGATGGCCCCTGTACTTCTGTACCTCCCATCCACATGGGAGACCCAGATTGCATTCCAGGCCCCTGTCTTCAGCCTGTCCCAGCCCTGCCTGTTGTGGGCATTTGGAGAGTGAACCAGAGGATAGAAGACATGTCTGACCCTTTGTATCTCTGCCTTTCAAATAAAAGAAAAACTAAATAAGGGAAAAATTTCAAAAATAAATGAACAAAGAAGCAAATCTTAGTACAGGGAACTAGGAGTAGTAGTGAGTGCTGCCACATCCAGTTCCAACCTTATTCCCTCTATCCACGAGAGACATGGTGCTGTACATTGGGCACTCATTCAGAGCATATGCAGCCTTTTCGGACAACATGTGACCAGCCCACTTGACATGTGTCAAGTAGCTGGAGCTGTGAAGGAGGTTTTAAACTGTGCCCTAACCATGTCTTGCTCTGCCAGTGATTATAGGGTGCTCTCCAGAAGGCTGTGGGTGTCAGCTGGGAGAAAGAATCCAATGTTGCAGGAGAATATGGGCATTTGGGTTACTTCATGTTACTGATTGTGCCCTCAAAACCTCCTCTAATCACTTCTATATATCACTTATTTTTGATGCTGGAGTGTGGTGGTACACATCCAAATATATGCTTTATTGGATCAGATAAAAATGAGTTTAGAGTTAGGTTTGAATGATCCCCCTTTGCTTCTGTTCCCTACCCAACTACAAATGCTTTTCAGAAAAGTTAAAATTGGCTCTGGTTTCTTGTAGCTCATTAGGCTAGAAAGATCTGATGGTGATATAATTTAGCAGTCCTATTTTAACAAAAAGCTGTGCTGTTAAAATATTTCTCAAAAAAAAAGATTTAGCAGAAATAGATCCATTTATTAGAAAATAGATGCATCTTAATATATCAGTACAAAGTAAAATCAATAACAGAATTCCTGCCTTGACTCTTATGTCCAGGCTCTACTGTACAACCTTGGGGTCATATGAGTGGTCTGGGTAGGGCTGGGTTTAGCAGCTCATGAAAAACAGGCGCACCCTCCCTTCAGCCAGTCTTAGCTCTGGAAGAATCCTATGAAATGAGGAGGCAGGGTCTCTCCCAACAGAAAGAAATGCCCCCTCCTCTCAGGACTTCTGGATCTGGTGTCTTTGATGGTCCTGTTGGGTCACCCACTGCTCCCTCTGTGCTCAGAGCCTCCAGTGGTCTCTCGTCCTTTGGCTGGAGAAGGAGCAGCATTCGTCCTTCAGTCCTCCCTGCTGAGTCCCGAGCTCCCCACGTATGTGAACTCAAACTTGGTTTAATTTCTTTTTTTTAAAGAGGCAGAAACTTTTTTATTTGATTGGCAAGCGACAGAGAAAACATCTGATCCGAGAGGAGACCAAGAGGAGTGTCCGAGTGGGACACTGGCTTTGAGGAAGTGTCCTGGTGTGTGTTCATTGGGGTATCTTGTTGGGAGTGCCCATTGGATAGGGGAGTTTCACATACATATGTTGATTGGCTTGGGGCTCAAGGAGATTGTGGGAGCCTCCTGGAGACTGTCTCCTTAGGGGCTGAGCCCCCTCCTCTGCTAGCTCTGGCTGGAAGATTGCAACTAACTTGAAGGCATGATTTAAAACCACAAGATCACACAAGATAGCCAGGATCTCTTGGAGCCAGTCCAGCTCTTCCCGGGTGCTTAGCCCCTTCCCTCACCAGCTCTGAGTGAAAGATTGCCCCCACCCTGGGTGTGATTTAAAGCTGCAAGGTCACACGTGCAGCACAAGAAGCTATTAGTGGGGTAGATGCCCATTGGCCTGGAGACAGGCTTCCAGCCACAGCTGGCAGCCTGCTTATGAAGGACATTCTACCTAAGTCTGAAGGGGCCCACAGACTCCCAGCCCCACTGGCCGGCCTTTGCCTTAAAGTCTATTTTATCTGATATTGGCATATCAGCTCTTTCGGTTACTGTTTTTGTGAACTATCTTCACCCTCTCACTTTCAACTTCTTTGTGTCCTTAAATTTAAACTGAGTCTCTCTTAGACAATATAGAATTAGGTCATTTTTTTAAAAAAATCCATTTTGTCAATCTATATCTTTTTTAAGAAAGATTTTATTTAATGAATACAAATTTCATAGGTACAGCTTTAGGAATATAGTGGTTCTTCCCCCATATCTTCCCCCAGGTTTAATTTTACCACAGATACCCAAGCATTGTCTTCCCAAAGTTGGGTGCTAGGGGCACCCTACTATTTGTTGGACTCTTGTGAATCATCTGCTTTGCATCTGTGTTGAAGGGGCCCCATCTCAGACTTCAACTCTTAGTTAGTGATAAGACACTGCTCCTTCTTTTCAACAAACTTCTCTGTTTTATCTACCATTCAGTCCTCTGTTCTGTACAATGAGGTGCTATGTAACTATGGTTACGCTCAGACATAATCCAGACCCTGACTGAAACTGTAATAGGAAATTAGTTAAAGGAATTAAAAAAAAAAAGTTTAAGATGTTTTCCATCTAGGAAGCTGAGTACACATAAATAACTCCGAATAAACTTTTTTGGCCACATGAATATGTACATTGTGTATGTGCATATAAATATTTATCTATATAATAGTTTCATTTTTACTTATTTTGAAAGAGGGAGTAACACACACACACACAACACACACACACACACACGGGGGGTGGGGGGAGAGATCTTCTCCATCTGCTGGTTTGCTTCCCAAATGTAGCTCAATTCTTAGTTGACTCATGCCTGAGTTTTTCCTATCCTAATTCCCTGAGAAGAATTTCTTTTTCTCTGACTGAGGATCCCATTTCTATCCCTCACACGCACGAACACCTAAATTCCTCCAGGTGAATTTCTATGCCCAGTAACTCTGGACATAAATTTATAAATTGATAAAACCCTAAATTACCCATTACCAGTTTAAAATATAATCTGGGAACAGTGTTAGGGCACAGCTTTATGTAGCTATGTAGCTTATAACACCAGCATCCCCCACTGGAGTGCCAGTTTGAGTCCTGGTTATTCTTCTTCCAATCCAGTTTCCTGCCAATGTTCCTAGGAAGGCAGCAGAAGATGGTGCAAGTACCCGGACTCCTGTTGCACATCTAGGAGACCAAGATGAAGCTCCTGGCTCCTGGTTTTGGCCTGGCCCAGACCTGGCTGTTGGCCATCGGGAGAGTGGACCAGCCGATGGAAGATGTCTCTCCCCTCTCTCTGCCTTTCAAATAAGTAAGTAAATAAATCTTTTTAAAAAGTGTAATCTGGTTTGTACCTCCTAAAATCACTTACATGTAAAGAGAGAGCCTGAAAAAGGAATCACCAAGTAACATCTTGGAGTTTCTAGACTAAGAATGACAAAACTGCCATCATCAACGCAGCCAGATGGAGGAAGGTGTTTGTTGCAGCCTCTGCATGGAGTATTTTCAAGGACATGTACACTCCTTAAGATCTTCATGTGCCATGATTCCACAATTCCAAGAATGACTACTACTGGCCAGAAGCATGAAAACTCCAAAGACTTTAAATAAAGACATGTTTCAGTTGTACTTACATAGGCCTATGACATCTCCCTCTCTTACTAAGTGACTTAAAGGCTGTGAGGAACACTGTCCATAATGGATTATTAGCCATGGGAACAGAAAAGGAAATAAATGTCTTGCTCCACAGCCTAAAGCCAGGAAGGTAGATCTCTCCGTAGCTCTCAAGAACCTCTCCCACCTTCTCAATGAATAGTTCACATGCAAGATATGTTTCCCTTTCTTTTCTCCTCCCCCTGAGAAACAATTATTGAGTGCCTACCACGTACTGAGGGTAGTTCTACAGTATCTATGATAAGAAACAATCAGGGGCTGGTACGGTGGTGCAGTAGGCTCAGCCAATGCTTGCAATGTCCATATCCCATATAGGAGTGCTGGTTTGAAACCTGGTCGCTCTGCTTCTAATCCAGATCCTTGCTAATGCACCTGGGAAAGCAGTGGAAGATGGTCCAAGTTCTGGGGCCCCTATGTGAGAAACTAGGATGGAGTTCCTGGCTACTGGCTTCAACCTGGCCCAGCCCTGCATGTTGTGGCCACTGGGGAGGGAACTAGCTGATAAAAGAACTCTCTCTCTCTCTTTCCCCCCTGTCATTCTACCTTTTATATAAATAGATATTTTTCTTTTTTGAAAAGAAAAAATCACAGTACCCCAGCCATGGTGTCTGTCTGGGTCCCAAGGTCCCAAGGGACATCCTTTGCACTCCCAATCTGTTTGATTCCTTTCAAATAACTCAGTCTTACAATTCACAATCATGTCTTTTATTTCCTTGATGATATTAGGCTTTATATCCTAGAATTTGTGATTAAACATAATGGCATTATCTTATCCACCAGTGTCTGTTATCTGGGCTCTTGTTTCCTTGATATTCAGTCATGTTGGCTTTTCACCTCTGAGATCTGACCATTCCTACTGGATTCTGGGTTCTGTTGATGAAAACATACAGGAGGAATACTTGGAGTCTGCAATGATGTTATTTTCCTTCAGAGATTATTTATTTATTTATTATACTATTTCAGGCCCTTAATTCCTATAAGAATCAGCTTATTCCTAGTTCACCCTGGGATTTAAGCCTGGGAATTTCAACTGAGGATACTATGCTCAGCAGCCCGTACACCTGGTATCTGTTCCCATATATCCATCCATCTGAAAAACAAAACAAAACAAAACACCCTCCTCTGTCTCTCAGCCTTGGCTCACTTACTGGAATTGGGCAATGTTTCTTGGGGAAAAAGCATGCCAGGTTTTCTTCTCTTGGATTCTGACCCCATACCTATTTTCAGAGCTGCTCTCTCTCTCTGCGACATATCTCTCTCCAGGATTTACAGTTCTTGGCAGGTGAGTTTTATCACTCCTGGCCTGTCATTACTTGAGGTGAAGCATGAAAAATACCCTTTGACATGAGAGCTGTGATTGCTTATAGGACACCATGTGCATTCAAAAGAGATGAGGGCTCGAGACCTTAAGTATAAGCTTAAATTCTCATTCACTCATTCATTCATACATTTACTCAAACAATAGTCACTGAGATCTCAATTTATGCTACAATTTGGATTTGTGAGTCATGGAAGGAAGGACTGAGATGCAAATTAAGAGAATACACATTCCAGGTAGAAGAACAAGATTTAATACTTCAAGGTCAAGAAATGAGTTCTCACAGCCAGTGCTGCACTTGTTACCTTGTGTGGAAGTCTACTCAATGTGTATGCCTTTGTTCTACACAAGTAGAACACAGAAGGGGCCCTGTGTTTTGAGTATGCATGTCATATGGCAACAGGCTCAGCCCACTGCTGTCACCTGTGGGAAGGGGCACAGTTCTTTTACTGCAGCACAAGCCACTGCTCTGTGTCAGCTGCTGGGAGGTACCCGCTGGCTGTGAGGGGCTGACACCCACTATTGAAACTGACCTTGCTGTCCTTCCTCTATGGGAGTGTTGTTCCACCCAGTGCTTGTCTTCATTGTTTTTCTTGGCTAATCTCATACAAAGATGCAGTGGGCAGAAGCATCCAGACCTCTATGCCTGGCGAGAAGCAAGCAGTGCCACCTGCTGGACATCAACTTCATATTTCACTACTATTGAACCATCGCCTATAGTGAAACGCACAAAGCTTAACTTTAATCAATTCTATTGTATATTTATTCTCTTGTGTAATAACACCCAATCAAGGCTGCATATTGCTGAAATCTAGAAAAGGTCCCTGTGCTTCCTTTCAGTCACTACAAGTAGCCTCTGTCCTGGCCTGTAACACCTTCAACTGGCCGTGCCTGTTCTGGAAATCTACTTAATTGGAATCCGACAGCAGACATTCTTTATTTGTATCTGGCTTCTTTCACTCACTGGGGCTGTGAGATTTCACCCATATTGTTGTGTGTGGAAAGCCGGTTCTTTTCATTGGTTGATAGCATTCTATTGCATAATATCAAAATTGATTTCTTCATTCTGGTTTTTCTGCAGGGGCTTCCCTGGGCTTGCAATAAAGAAAGAACTCCAGGAGAGAGAATAAGCTGATCTGAGACTGCATCATGTATTCATAGGTTAGTGTGAGACTCTAGGAAACATCTAGCTTTCTCAAGGTAAGGAATATATTAATGATTTCCTTTCTCAAGAACTATACCAGGGGTGGGAGTGGTGGTGGCAGTGCTGTGGCATAGTAGGTTGAGCCTCTCCATGAGGTGCCTGCATCCCATATGGGCGATGGTTGGAGTCCCACCTGCTCCACTTCCGATCCAGCTCTCTGCTGATGTGCCTGGGAAAGCAGTGGAAGATGGCCCAAATGCTTGGGCCCCTGCATCCACGTGGGAGACCTGGAGGAAGCTCCTGGCTCCTGGCTTCGGCCTGGCAGAGCCCCGGTCATTGCAGCCATTTGGGGGGTGAACCAGTGGATGGAAGACCTCTCTCTCTGCCTCGCCCTCTTTCTGTCTGTAACTCTACCTCTCAAATAAATAAATCTAAAAAAAAAGCTAGTAAGTCCTGCAAACTGAGGACCAAGATCTAAATGCTAAGTCAGCAAAACGGAAATCAACCAAGGCAGAAGAATCATACAGACTTGCCTCCCTCTCTCTCTTTTTTTTTTTTTTGACAGGCAGAGTGGACAGTGAGAGAGAGAGAGGCAGAGAGAGAAAGGTCTTCCTTTGCCGTTGGTTCACCCTCCAATGGCCGGCACGCTGCGGCCCGTGCACCGTGCTGATCCGAAGCCAGGAGCCAGGTACTTATCCTGGTCTCCCATGGGGTGCAGGGCCCAAGCACTTGGGCCATCCTCCACTGCACTCCCTGGCCACAGCAGAGAGCTGGCCTGGAAGGGGGCAACCGGGACAGAATCCAGCGCCCCAACCGGGACTAGAACCCGGTGTGCCGGCGCTGCAAGGCGGAGGATTAGCCTAGTGAGCCGCGGCGCCAGCCCAGACTTGTCTCTTGTTAGGTACAATTCATCTGATTTTAGTAGCTAGTACCCAGCAGTATTTGATGGTGGCACCTATGCCTCTCAGCAGTTTGTCTGAAAGCAGCAGTTAGCTTACATCCTGTCAATACTTGGCAATGTCAGTCCTTTAAATTCTGGTTTAAATTTGCATTTACCTAATGATTAATGAGGTTAAGTGCCTTTGTATGTATTTAATACCCAATTGAATATTTTTTTAAAAATTTTATTCTTCAGACCAGTTTGTATTTACAGCAAAAATGAGCTGAAGACAGTCCCCTTATACAACCTACCATTCTAACCCTATATCAGCATCGCCCATTGTAACATTTGTTATAACTAATGAACCCCATATTTATAGATGAGTATCACCCAGAATCTATCTATAGCTTACATTGGAGCTCATTCTGGATGTACACATTTTGTGGGTCTGAACAACTGTAAAATGACACAACTCCATTATAGCATCAGACAGAATAGCTTCATTGCCCTAAAATTCCTGTGCTGGCGCTGTGGCGTAGTGGGTTAAAGCCACCACCTGCAGTGCCGGCATCCCATATGGGCGCCGGTTCAAAACCTGGCTGCTCTACTTCTGATCCAGCTCTCTGCTATGGCCTGGGAAAGCAGTAGAAGATGGTCCAAATCCTTGGGCCCCTGCACCCGTGCGGGAGACCCCGAAGAGGCTCCTGGCTTCGGACTGGTGCAGCTCCGGCCATTGTGGGCAACTGGGGAGTGAACAAACAGATGGAAGACTCTCTCTCTTGGCCTCTCCTCCTCTCTCACTGTAACTCTTGACTTTCAAATAAATAAATGAATAAATTATCTTTTTTTTTTTTTTTAATCTAGCCCCCCTGGATAACCCCATGAGGTAAAAAGTCACTAAGATAACCTTCCCCTGATCTCACCTCATGCCTCAAATGTCTCTTTACTAATATTTTCTGAAAAAGTCCAGGTGCATTCAAGAGCCACAGGTCCTTGTTCTATAAATCCTTTTCTCCTGCCCCTGGCTATGAGGATCCATTGTCTTGCAGCTGCCCCACTGAATCACAGGTTGTGTACTCTGCATTTGCCTTTTGTTGGTCTCTGCACCTTCCACCTTCAGCAGATAGTTCTCCTACACTGGGTTGTTCTGAACCACAGCCTATTTATCCCTCCTTGCCCCTAACCCCTGACATCCACTTATCTTGTCACTTTATTTTCCCTTTGGTAGAATGTCAAGAGTTGGACTCACACAGA